CATACAAATTGCGCATGAGTCGTTGAGTGTAGCAACAGAAAATGAATTTAAAATGCACAAAACAATGTTTATTCATGATTGACAATTTTTCATATGACCGCTAACTTTGATGGGCGTACGTTATTAATCCATTGAATCATTTGTTGAATTATTTTTTCAAATAATAGTCTCCTATTTGATTAGCGTTTTGTACTCCCTCTCCCTCTCTCTCACTCTTGCAGAACACACCGCTTTGGAGTAATCGGGAACGTTAATAATTCATAAGGAATCAATGGGACTGAAGATAATTTTCAGATTGGACATAGATTTTTTATTTATTTTTTCTGATTTTTTGAGATTTTTTCTAGATTTTAATCTTTGCCATAACCTCAAATAGCTCATTTTCTCATAAGACTCTGTGTTATTTTGGCATTTCTTGATTCATTATTATCAATAATACTAGACTGAGGATTGCGCGCAAACTCAGCAAGTATTTTCCTATCCTCATTAACTTTCGCTTACAACTCTTTGCAGATTTTAATTTTTGAAATGTGAGTTTCGTATGTACTATTTTCATGCCCAACCCAACGAAAGATGGCGACCACGCACCAAAAGTGTAACGATATTAGAGGTCACCTGGGCACTTGAAAGTATCAATTTTCAACTATTTTTTGAATTATAAAGGAGAGGAATTTGAAAATTTTAATTTTCGATTGAGACAAAACGGTGCGTGGATCATCGAATAAGAAAATTTTTAAAAAATGGAGGAAATATGCCCATTCTAAAATTAAATCTGTCGCATCCAGTGCCTCTACAGGTGGTCTAAAAAGATCTGGTCGTGAAACTCCCTTTCGATTGTCAAGTCAACTCGATCGTGCCATCGCTCTCCTCCCATCATATGTGGAGGTAAATAGGAGATGATGTCCGCTCTGCACAATGGGCATCTTCGCGTAATCAAGCTCTGCACACATGAGACGCAAATGCGATGATGGCAGGGGTTCAATTTTTGGATACTCTCTCTTGACTCGCATATGCAGCACTCTTTTTGAAAATAAGTGGTATCATCAGTACAAATGGTATAAGGGAGCCTATTCTCGAGTGGATGAGCAATACTTCCGTCCCCGGAAGTAACTCCGCACACGGAGAAAAACTTACGCGACAATCTCGTGAAAGGTCCCTTGAGAAATTGATGTGCCACTCACCAACAGTGGGACTTATCGAAGGGTTCGCTAATGCTAGACATGTTACACTCCTATAATTCGAAGGATCATATTAGAAAGTACTGAGTGGTGCTCTCCAAAGTCGCGTGCTTGGACATTCAAAAAATAGTGTGCAACAACTAAAATTTTGCACTCGGTGAGGTACTTTACGTGCATGTGAGGCTAATTCATTTTTCATACCACAGAGGTCACCACTTAGCAAAGGAGGGCTGATGGAAATTTACTGAGTGGCATACTAATACTTAGAGAGGCCCCCGCCAATTTTTCGTATTTGATTTCATAAAGATAGAATTCTTTGAACTAGTTTCTGATAAGCGGAGAAAAAGTAGGGTGCAGCACATGAAAGTTTGGAGAGGGGTGATTTAAATTATTATTGTCAGAATCTAATTTGTGTAGAGTATTCTATATTTTTTGGTGCCTCCTCCGCTACGGCCCCTGCATTAGTGGGAAGATACACTAATTTTCGAGATATTTTTCACTTCGTGTAAATGGAACACCTAATCCACCAAATCCACCGATCCAGGCATTCCGGCTGCAGAACCACTTCCGTTCACGAGAATGTTTCCGATCCACTCGAAAAAACGCCACCAGAAGGCGATTCGTATGCGACATGTGGTACGTCTTATGGGTCACATCTGGCGAACCATCGTGCTATCGCACAGTCACAACTAGAGAATAGCCTCCCAGGAGCTGCGAAGCGGCTCTTGGTCAAATGTGAATCCGACTAATCGGGCACATGCGAGAGCCTGCCGCAGTCCTATACAGCTTGACCACGCTATAGCTGGACTAGGCCGTAAAGAATTCAATTATTAATTACGACAAACAGAATAGATTCAGGGAGCTAATTTGTTTTCTCTGGGCAGATGGGATTTTTTTTTAGTTTTTCAGAAAGATGGATGCATCCAGTCCTATGAGGAGTTATTTCTTCAATAGACTTATCAATTTTTTTTAGAACACTGAAGAGTGCGCTAAAAATTCCAACCATTATGAGTGAAGTTACCCCATGTTTGGCCCACACTGGTTCGCTGTCATACTTTGATGCTCATACGTAGACTTCCTACCCCAGACTTGTAAAAACGGAAATCGCTAGAAATAAGTACCGTTTATAAACAGTGCTAGAAGGTTTTGTGACTACTGTGGATGATGAGTTCTCGCCTCCCGCTCCCATGCCAATACCGCCCGGGCAAAAAACCCCGTGGTTTTGTCCTCAAATATATCATTTGATCACGCTGTGTGGAAAAGTTACTTCGCGTGCCTGGAATGTCCCTTTTCTGCTCATTGTGATGGAACATATTGTTCAACACTCGTGGAAAAAGCTTTTTTTGACATGTGAAATGTCAAAACTCTCACTCACCTTCGGCTATACTAATCGGAATATACTATTTTCTATATAATAAAAAAAGGGAATGTTCGGTTGAACTTACTAGCATTTCACAGTGAGTGACAAGGTTCACGACGATCAGAAGAGGTCACATGGTGATGTAGAGGACATACGGGGTTTGATTTGTAAATACAATGATAATGTGATTGCGCGTCTTATAGAAACTTATGATGCAAAGCCAGCTCCACTAATGTTTACAAATGCAACTTCACGCGCTCGTACTGTATTCATGGAAGTATATGTGACTGCGGAACTCTCTTCCCACACATTACAAACGCCAATGAAAGTTGGTGCACTGTCATGCACGCATCTTCCACCAGTGAGCATAATGGAATGGTTTCTTCCCACTTGCAAACATCGCCGAGAGACGGTGCATTGTCACGCACTCATACTCCAACGATAATCGCAGGTGTAAATACGAAATCCTATACTCTGTGTCAAGTTAATTTGTCAATTTTGCGAGTATTCTTCGGATGACATTTAACGGGACATATGAATTCTGATCAAGCGACTTGTTTCAAATATTCACTGTTATATCCGAAGACAGATAAAACGTCGAGGATTTGAATCGATATCCTACCTATCTCAAATACATATACCAAAAATCTCTAAGGATATTTCTATCCTTAGGTTTAGATTCTTTTATATTGTTGACACTGATTTCTCCTGTTTAACTTGTGGCTAGAGGACTTGGGTTCCGTAATGAATAGTATTTTGTTATTTATCAATCTAATATATGTTGGTTTATTCTGAACTGATTGGGTTTGGATACATTGATGTGAACATTTTCCGGACCCGAACGGGTGTTATGAATCTAATTTGACTCTACTTGGAAGAATATCACACGCTCGCTATTGTCAGCCTTAGGATGGTACGTTTATTTGTAGTTGATTGTGCTGACTTACATTTGATGTTTTAACTTCTCTCCCTCTCTCTCTCTCTCTCTCTCTGATGGTAGTGAACTCTTAGTAGCTAGGGTGGTGTCCTTGAACCGTTCCTGGAAGTGTGGTTTTACTATGTCTCCAGGATTGTCGTCACACGTGAAGGAATGTTCAATTTTATTTTGTATTTATGTGGAAAGAGTTCTCAGTCACTGATCAACAAATCGTGTCCCAGCACTCCTGTATACGCGATGATTGGCACTAGTTTTGACTAAAGGTTCCTGAACACCCACTACGCCCCTCTACATATTCTCAAGGCTCGAATATACCAATAAGGTCACCAAAGATTTTGACAATGTCTTTGGTGGTGAGAACGGTTTCGCGGTCAATTTCGTGGATCACTCGCAAGTGTTGGTAGTTTCCCTTCGGGGGAACAACTGAGTCTGAAGATGCTCCGAGTATCGGGCATTTATTAGCTTGGGTGATTCACGAAATTGGCCTGGATTACATTTGAAGTATTGAAGAGTAGGCTTATTGTGTAAGTGGCGCAACTTTGGTCAGCAGTAATGCGTCGAAAAAGAATTTAGCAATGTGGGACATAACAGCCCCCTCTTCAGGAATGAGGTCCTAAGAAGGGTTCATTCCTGAATACATGTTGCGAATTTCTTTTTATGACGCTGGACGAACTTCGTGGTGACCTGCGTTAATGTTGGAGGTGTGACTGTTTTATAAATGATGAGCGGGACACTTTGTGACATTGTGCTGTGTACTCATTTCTAACTTTCATTGCATCGGCACTTCAGTGGGATTGTTATATCCATATCTATTGTTTCTTCTGTGCGTTCATTTGATCTTGAGTGACTTTTAATTTTGGATTATTGTTCGAGCGAGAGTTTCTCCGAGACGCAAGATATTCTTCAAGGTAAGGGGTTTTTTTTTTTTTTTTTTTTTTTTTTTTTTTTTTTTTTTTTTTTTTTTTTTTTTTTTTTTTTTTTTTTTTTTTTTTTTTTTTTTTTTTTTTTTTTTTTTTTTTTTTTTTTTTTTTTTTTTTTTTTTTTTTTTTTTTTTTTTTTTTTTTTTTTTTTTTTTTTTTTTTTTTTTTTTTTTTTTTTTTTTTTNTATTTTTCCCGAATTTTGATTTTTATGGAGAATAGAGGCTGTTCAAATTTTATTTGTTGTATGTGGCGTCGTAGGGGAGGATCAAGGGGTGGTATTCCAAAAGTATCCGCATAGACCCTGTAGAGTAAAGTCTCTACTACAGAACGATGTTTCGATTTTCCATGAAATTCTTCTTTTAGTGGGAAATAGAGACTACTCAAAAGTTTATGTTCGTCTTGGCGTCCGAGGGCAGGAATAAGGGTTGATACTCCGAAAGTGTCCGCATGGACCCCGTAGAGTAGAGTCTCTTAATGGCTCCAGGGGAAGCTTTTTACTGTTGACNTGTTCAAAAATATATATATGTGTCTCACGTTTGTAGCAGGTGTCACGTGCCTAATTACTCTGTTATCTCTTTATTTGTTTCAGAAATTGGGTTCGACAATGGCCAGGGGATCTACTGACGGGAATCATCTTAAGGACTATGACAAGTGCAGTTATGTGTTGCGTGAGGAACTCGTGGGTAAAGACTTTTTCGACTACTTAAGCGGACTGAGAAAGATTAGTGAAAGCGAGGGGTTTTTCGTGGTTCAGCCTCCCGAGCCGTGGAAGGTTTCAATTCGCGAACAGTGTTTACAGATGTTGACTCCTGACCTCGCCATAGATTATGTGACAAAAAGGATTGAGAAAGTGCAAGCTGGAATTTATACCTTTTGTTTGGTGGATGAAACACCCCGAACGGTGAAGTATGGTGAATATATCGAACTTTTAAATGAGCAAAAACGGGTGGTGGACAATAGAGTCCAAGGGCTTGTCGTGGGGAGTAGTGGTTACTTTGACTCCTTAGCCGGACTGGACATTAAGTACGCGGCTGATCTTTCTCTCGACATCTTTAAGGAAGTGACTGGTCTCAATTTTAATCGATTGGTTCCCTTGTTAAGGGCCCTGCCTTCAGCCGCAGGGGAGAGACGGGTCGAAGGGATTCATACGGCAATGACATACATTGCTGGTAGTGGGTCCAGTTTCCCTATTCACATTGAGGACTGTAATCTAGCTGCACTGAACTACCAGATTTTCGGAGAGTCAAAGAATTGGTTCATTATTCCCCCTTCTGAGTTCCAGACCTTTTACAGCGTGGTGAATCGGATTCTTAAGACCAGGTTTCCGGGGGAGCAGTGTGATTACTTGTTGAGGTATAAATTCATTCTGCTCTCGGATGATTTCTTCACGCGGAATAAACTTGTGCGGACAAAGTACGTCCAAAAAGCGGGGGATTTGCTTGTTCTGGACCATAGTGTTTTTCACATGGGTACCAGCATGGGGCTGGACATCAATGTCGCGGTCAACTATGCCTTCACGAACTGGGGTCAGTACGCTAAGGCCGCGTTAGCTGAAAAGGCCTGTGCCACCTGTTCCGAATTTCCCCGCTTGGTGATTAACAACCAGTTGAAGATCTGGCAGAAAAGTCAAATCGCCCGGGACCTGATTGGACATCCCTACGACCCGAAGTACTTGGCCGAAATGAAGCGCCGCCGTGAGGAGCAACGTCGTAGCGGCGTTATTTCTTTTGGTCAGATGACGAGAGCCCGACAAGAAGGGGCTGTTTTCACAGCCCAACAGAAAAGCAGTATCGCAAAGTACCTCGCCAACAAAGCTGTTTGTATGAATAGCACTCAGAAGCTATGGTCTGGCTATAAGAGATGGCCAGGGCGAGTACCGTGCGGCACTAGCTCTCCCGATGCATTCAAAAGGAAGATCATCAATCAAATCTATAAACCCTGCCTTACGAGTGGTGAAACATTCGGACTTTTGGAGGAAGAGTTTCAGTTGTTAAGGGGAAAGCTTTCTGGGCATTCGTTCGCCTAATTCGAGATTCAAAAAGACAATTTTGATGCTATACTGAGTATAAATTAATGTATATGGATATATATATATATATATATATATATATATATATATATATAAAAAGGAAAAAAAAAGTTTTTATTGTTTTTCATTTAAAGGTAAACCTTAATGGCTCCAGGGGAAGCTTTTTACAGTTGACGTCATCGTAATCTCGCATTCCCGTCGTCTCTCTAACCTGGGGTAGGTGGCGTTGTTGGGTCTCCAGACACGTCATCGGATCCAGCTGGAAGGTCACTGGCGTGGGTGGTGGTGGTGAGTTTGGCACGGTTATCGTGCTAATTGGTGTTTCGTAGGGGTCTTGGATGTCCGTTCTGTTAATGCGTCTTCTTTTGGTTGTACTGGGCCCAGATTTCTTCCTTCTGTAGCAACCACTGATGCAGCAGCTTAATAGTCGGCAAGGGTTGATTCCGTTTTTGAAAAGGGTAAAGAGGGTCACCCCTGACACTACTGATAGTATCCCCGTCAGAGCGCAGTTTGTCATTGAAAATAATCGATGGTGGTAGTTCTCTTGGTGGTGAAGTTCGATCTCTTCTGCTTCCTGTATTACTTCCTGCATTGATTCGTCGAATGATTTATCCTCTGGATCTGGCAAGGCGTCTAGTTTGATTCCTGTCAGAAAATGTGGTGGTTGGGGGCTCTTTTTCAGCACTGGTGCTAGGTCAGTGAGGTTCATTGTCACTGGTATCCCATGGATCATGGGCAGGGCTGTCTCAATCAGACCCGTGCCCTCCAGGAGGATGCTGGGTGTTTCTGCTGAGCAATTCTGACTTAGGTGTAGTGTCCCTGTACCTTTCACATCTACCATTCCGGTCAGTTTTCCATTACAGTTGACCTCTAGGCGTTCAGGGTTTATGACAGAGAATAACCATCCTTTGGTGCTCATCAACTCTGACCAGGTAGTCTCTAGGGAGTTTGTGAGCCTGATGTCGCAATTCCTGAGGATTTCGTTGGTTGGAGCGAAATCCTTGTTCATCAACAAATTATATTCGCATGGAGTGACGGGAGATGGTTTCCGGATGGGCATTCCCCTTGGCCATGCCAAACAGTTTTCCAAGGGAATACACCTGTCTAAGTATTTCTCCGTTATTAAGGCGTAATGCTTCGTAACTGCTGACACCATGATATAATTCGTTTTTGGCCGGACATGTGCTGTTATTGTCCTGTTCCCTTGGATCTGTTGGGGAACGTTGCAGGGAATCATCTTATAGAGGTCCCACGTATCTTTCGGTAACATGGGGAGCTTTACTGAGACTAAGAATCTTCCATTATTTACACCCGTTTCCATCGTGGAGATCTTTGATAAAACTGCCAGGTCGAGTTTAATTTCGGAAACGGGGAAGACACTATCCTGATTCTCTTTCTCTATGTCTCTCAACATATCTAGAATCTTCTTATCTGTGACCAGGATTGGATTCAGTTTCCCATGGCGCGCATCTTCGTTGCCATGTATGGTTTTATGGAGATTATTAACATACTTGGATAAACCGTATTCTAGATCCATTCCAATCTTCCCCAGTTTGTTTAAATAGTCCATTCGAAAAACTTGTTGGCTCATCTGGGAACTGTCGTTGATGACTTGGGCCAACTGATCCTCCATCGCCTTCAGGTTCTGGGCGTTGTTGTGGGTGATTCCCCTAAGTTTTTCGATTTCAGCTTTGATGACGTGCGTGGAGTTCCCCATCAGGTGTGTGATTTGTCTCTGATCCTGGTATAGACGGTCAATTTCCTTCGTCAGGTGTTCGTGATCGTTGTAATCCATCGTACCAAAGAGTTTCCTTGCTATGGTACCAACGAACCCCAACAGCGGGGACCGTTTTCTTACTCCGCAGCAGTTAGATGGTTCCTTCAGTACTTTCCGCACATGGTTTAACAAGGACTCTAGTTCCCTGCTCAAATTCTCAATAGCGTTGGAGTGAAGCGTTTCCGAGCAAGTTGGAGAATCGACATAATTCAGGCAATTAGTCAGGTGGAAATGAAATGCCGCCATACCTGGGGTGGATTGCGTCAGTATTTCTTGTAGGTCAACGCTCACTAGGATCTTCCATTCCTTATTGATTATTCTAATCTGGTCCACCTGTTCGTAGTATAGGCCCGGGTTGTATTCGATCTGATGGATTTGGTAATTAGGCTTCACCTTTTCCTTGGATGTGGGTACATTTGTTCCGTCTCCCATTGTTGACCAGAGCAGCAGAAAAAGAACGACTTCTCTCATGGTGGTTTGATTTGTTTCGATTTGCTGCAAGATTTCCAAAAAGTTAGATAATACAGGTGCTAGGACTGGCTACAGGCTGACAATTTTGAAGACGTGATTTCTTTTCTTTTCATTAGGGTGGGGTTGCGCAGGGGCTTGATATGATAGACTGGGCTCTTTCCCTTTAAAATGTTGGCGCCCTGTTTGGCCAATTGGTCTGCCTGTTCATTCTCTTGTACCCCCTTATGGCCTGGAACGTGTTTGAAAATTACGTCTGTTTTCTTCATCAGCTTTTCGAGTCGTCGGAACAGCACTTGATTCACTACGGGCTTGGATTTGGCATTTTTCCACCCATTCGCTTTCCATTTTGGTAGGAAGTCATTCATGCAATCAATCAGGTATCGGGAGTCCGTAATGATTCGAATCTTCTTTATACCGAACTCGATGGCGATTGAGCACGCTTCTATTGCCGCAACAATTTCCGCTACCACATTGGTGACCCTTTCCTGTTTGATAGTTTTCGATGTGTTTAATGGGTTAATTTCCGAAAACCAGACGCCTATTCCTGCTACCGCCTCCGGACAGCCATTGTGGGAGCAAGATCCATCGACGTAGATGTCGACTCTCCCTTCGGTTTCATTGAATAGGGCTGTTCCTTTCTGGTTCATTTTCCTGCAAGAGAGACATAGGAGGAGTTTACCGAGTGAAATCTTGAGTTCATTCATCATCGTTGCCCCTAGGGGCAGACTTCAGCTTGTTCGCGTGTTTTTCGAGTCTCTTGCCATCTTCTGTCTCCAGGATGACATTCCCTTTCTCGGTTATTCCTACTACTTCAAAGGGGCCAACATACTGCTGATCTAGTTTCCCATATCTGGGTTCCTTTTCTACGCAGACGAAATCACCGATTTTGATTTCCATCGGGTGGGTTTTTTGATCGTACTGCCCCTTCGATTTCATCTTCGCGCCGATGAGATTGTCTGCGGCTATCTGATGGATTCGATCCAGTCTTTGGACGAAATCAATCATGTAGTCACTGTAGGTCTCGATTTTGTCTGGGTCGGAGAAGTTGGAAGGTAGTCTGATCTTTTTACCGCAGAGGACTTCAAAAGGCGTGAAACTCGTGGCGCTATGGACTGTGGAATTTTATGATAGCATAGCGAAAGGTAGCAGTGAGTCCCATGACTTGAACTCAAGGGTGAAGGCTCGGAGGTATTCGCCCAAGACGTGATGACTGCGTTCGAGGGCCCCGTTGGACTCCGGGCGGTAACCCGATGTGGTGACGTGGTGAAACCTTAGCAGCTTGCTCAGTTGGTGGAACAGCTTGCTCAGGAAGCTAGTGCCTTTATCTGACAGAATGATCTTTGGACATCCATATAGAGCAACAAACTTTGTAGCTATCGCTTCCGCGATAGTGATTGCCCTTATATCGGGGATGGGAACGGCCGTGCAATGCTTAGAAAAGTTATCCTGTATGGTGAGGATATGCGAATTTCCATTGGGGGTTGATGGCAATGGACCCACCGTGTCAATGGATATCCTTTCAAAACATTGTGTAGGAGTTTCGGTGATAAGCATGGGTTGCCTCACCTTGATTCTCTTGAGTTTGGCGATTTGGCATACATGACATCTCTTAATGTAATGCTCGATCAGTTGTTTCATCCCCACCCAGTGGAATCTCTCTCTAACCTTGTTGAATGTCGCTACTACCCCCTTATGGCCTCCGGGTAGGGTTTGATGACACTCCTTGATAATTTCCAGTCGTACGCCCTCTGGGGGCACTCTTATTTGGCCATGGCAGAGTACTATCTCCGTTGGATCATGTTGGAATTCCCATTCCAGAAAACGTCTGATCTGGATCTCCTCATCAAGTTCATCTCCCTACGAAGAAATCTTGAAGCTCCCGATCTCATATTTATGGAGGGCTTCCTTCAGATTCTTCAAACATTGTCTCAGGGTTTTGAGTTGCACCGGCTCGAAGTGTCGCTCCTTCGCAATTAGGGTGAACGTGTGGAACTTTCCGGACCTGGTCATGACCACTTGTCCCCTTTCTGGCTTCAAGGTCTTCAAATGTACTACATCTATGAGGTTTAAGTCTCTCAAGAGCTTGGTCGTTTGCTTGGTTACCTCGCAATCTGCGGCCAGGAAATGAACAACATTACCTCTCTGGAATGTGAGGCCATCCCTGGTTTCCCTGATGTTCGCTGGGTTGGGTCGATGGTCGCTCTGCGGGATGATCAGGTTCTCAACTTCATCCCCGTTGTCTAACCATTCAAAGAATTTCCTTTGGGCAGGCCCCAATTCCGCAAATTTATCCAGAACCGGCGGTGAATAATGAGGGACAAGCCCGTTCAGCGGGGGAACATAGACCGATTGCTCTACCACCCCGTTGATGTGTGGGGTAGGTTTGGGGTCAGCCTGGGTCTCTAAGCGCGCATCCTCCTTGAACAGGTTCCTCTGCGGCAGCTCGCTCCGCTGACCACCCGCGGTGGGAATCATAGGGGAAGATCCCGCCATCGGGACCTGAACGGCTGAGGGCGTCGGGAATAAAGTTTGGCATCTCTGCTGGTTCTGCGACAAGATGGTGGAATGCCTGGTCGTGTTTGTTTTTGGACCGTTCGGTCGTCCTTCCTCAAGTAACTCAGGCACCTTTCCCAGCGCACTCATTTCCTGTGCAAGGGGAATCTCTCTCGCCATGGATGTAGGGTCAGGATTGTTGATTACTTCGGATCTGTCCTGGAGCTCCTGCATCTTTGCTTCGAATCAACTTACA